TAGTATTAAGTAGATAGAAAACAAAACAAAACAAAAAAACAAAAAACAAAAAAAATGAAATTTTCTTTTTGACGTAAAAAGAAAAAAGGAAAAAAAAAACACAGAGTAGTTCCACCTAAAAGCAAGTACTACCTTTAAAAATTATATATACTAGTTGCTACCTATATATATATCTTTTTGATTAACAATTTCTAATATGTCTACTTAGTACTAATCCAACAAAGCAAGGTTTTCACAAATTTTATGTAGTATCTAGTCAATAGAAGTTGACTACATAACATGTGCTACATGTATTTACAAGTTGTTGTTGTTTAGTAGCATCTAACATGACTTTTCTAAAATAGACATAATACAAATGTTGATCTTTTAGCAGAAGTAAGCCAAATCTCTACTTTTTGTTGTTGAGAAACAAAGGAAAACAATTCCAAGTCCAAAAGTTTAGTTGTCAAGAGTATAGAGAATAGTTTTTCAAAAAAACAAAACTAAGAGAGTAATAATATACTTGACCTAGCACAAGTATAGTTGGAGTCCTTTTTTACTTCTTCTTTTCTCTTTTAGCATCTTTCTACTAAGCAAACTTAAAGTCACCTTGCCAAAATCAAATGACAAAAAGCCTAGTACAATCTTGAAACTGACTTGTCGCAGTTCTTGTTTTTAACTTATTGCAGTTTCGTAGTTTATTCCTTGTGTAGTCAGATACTTTAAATTGTTTTACTAGATAGTAGTGCAAGAAATATAATTTTTTTATTATTCCATTAGTTTGGTTTTGATGATTATCAGAAAGAATTCATTGTACTAGTTTTTCTTTTCTAAACATCTTTAAATATAGTTAAATATCTTCAAATATTATCAAATGTTATCAAACATCTTCAAATATCTTCAAATGTCATCAAACATCTTCAAGTGTAGTTAAATGTAATTAAACATTAATAAAGATTTCTAAATGCTAATAATTCAATAACTATTAATCTAATTCTTACAAATTATAGCTCATTATGATCACAAGACTATTCTGATTCTAATAACACTAATTAAAAATATTGCTAACTTATAAGATAATTTATAAAATACAAATAAAGTATAACTAATTAATAAATATAAAGATAAAATTACTAAAACTCATTTGATAACAATATAATAGTTCTGTAATAACAAACTAATAAAATCTAATCGGCCAAGAAAGTAGCCTTAACAATAAAAAAAAAAATAAATAAATTTCCTTATTATAATACACAAAAATTTTATTTGTAAATTTTTAATTAAACAATTAATAAAGATAAAAATATAATCTTATCTTGACTTTGCTTAAAAAATAAAATAAAAATAAAAATTTTTATAGTTTTTCGAAAATTAACTAATAAGAATTAAGTATTCTTATATTACTTAGCAAACTTTATTATACTGTATAAAAACAAAAATACATGTACAGCTATTTGAGTTTTGTGTCAAATATCTGAATAAATTAGAAAGTTCAAAGTTTTTTTGTTTTTATTAAAACCAATTTAACATTTTTTTTTTTTTTTTTTTTTACATAAAAATTTGAGCATAACAGTTCATTTAATAAGTATAACATTTTGAAGCAGAAAGTCTTCGTTAAAGTTTCCGCATTTTTTCCTCTCGATCCTGATAAGCATTTTCAATTTCGACAATATCCACCAATTTTTTAACATGACCTTCCGCAGCTAGTAGCAACTTATGTAAATCTCCGATATTTTCATGTAGCTTTTGTGATTTCATTGGCATTGACTCATGATGATCATCACTAGATGATGGGGAATAATTTTCAACTTGATCATATTTTTGGTAATCTTGCTCGTATATTTTTGATTTATCGGTTAACCATTGCCATAACACGTCTTCATTTTCAATTCGATCATCAAGTATTGATGCAAAATCTTGCTGTCTAGTTTCATAAAGAAACTCATTTTTACGACCACGTCCGAAAGCAGGAACATTATTTCCTCCAATACTATCAAGTCTGCGCCCAATACCTTGTAGAAGATACCAATTATAAAAATTTGCTATCATCGTTATTAATATAGCTGACATTATCATAGTATTGGTTGATGGAATAGAAATGTTTTGAAATATTGTTGACAGTATAGAAGATATGATACTCTGAACCTCTATGAGAGTGCCCCATACTCCAGCAATTTGACGTTGTGTTGGTGTTGGTTCAGCTTGCTCTAAAACATTATTCTCACAAGGTATTTGGATAGATCTAGTTCGCTCTTTAGATCGAGTTTGTGTTCTCTTAACCCAATCCTTTTCGACTTCATCGGTTTCTACACGTTCTAGAACTGGTGATCCTGATTCGTCCTGGAATTCTGAAGGATGTGCAACAATATATTTCCTAATTTCTTGTGAGAGGCCCTTCCAGTACTGCTTTTGGCCTTCAATGCTCGCTTTCTCAATTGTTCCTATCATTATTCGCGAAAAGAAAGAATATATATTGCTAAAAACAATAAAATTATGTTTACTCATAAAATTACATAATTTATGCATACCTTTGAGCCAACTAGATTTTGACCAATCGACCGCACAAGTAGTGATTATTCTAGTTTCGTTAAATCCTGCTCGCATTATACATATTCTTGTTTTGACGGAAAAACTTGCACCAGATGGTACATCAGGCGTA